TGCAGAATTAGAAACCCAGAGGGGCTGGCCTGGGAGGTTGGGGACCAGGATGACTGAAGCCCCTCCCTTTATGGAAGCTTTGTTCTGGTGTGAAAGGTCCCAAGGAGGCTGCAATCCTGTGAAAGTGCAGGAAGGGCTGGTCCGGGGCAGAGGGAGCAGCCTGACGTGGGGACGGGTCTCGTGGCAGCGCTGGGCACAGAGACAACGGGAGTCCCACAGTGCTCGCCGCCAGGGCCCACACACACACATCATACTCACTGGTCGAGTGAGGTCACCCGCCACTCTGAGGCGGGCCCCCTGTATCTGAGGTGGTTGGGACATCAAGTCTTCTGTCCAGACAGAAGTTGGTATCTAACTGGACATGGAGCCAGACAAGCCCGGCCTGGATCCTAGCTCTCCTCTGCTGTTACTGTGTGACCTTTCACCTCCCTCCCCCTTTCTGAGCTTTAGTTTTCTCTTCTGCCCCTGAACTGATAATTTCCACTTCACTGAGTTCTTGGAAGGCTGAACAAAAGCTCCAGGCAACGTAGTAGGCATTGCATTAAGAGTTTCTCCCCTCCCCTCTTCATAGTGTCCTGTTTACAGCTGTGTGTCCCTGGCCAAGTTACTTAACTTTTCTGTGCAGTGGGAGCAATGATAGCACCTCCCATGTAGCCTTGTGGTGAGAATTAGACTAATGCACATAAAGCACTTAGAACAGTGCCTGGTTCACTCTTTATCGCTGTGACTAGTAGCTAACATTTGTTGAATGTTTAATACATTCCAAACCCTGGGCGTTATCTCGTTGTTTGTTATTGAATTCTTATTCTTGCAATAACAGGGACAGAGGCGCTCACTGTGCTTATCCCCACTGGGCACACGAGGAAACCGAGGCCCAGAAAGGTAAAGTGATGTGCCCAAGGTAAAGAAGTCACTAAGCAAGGGGGTCTCTGCCCACTTGTGCGCCTAGGCTTCTTGTCTTGGGGTTGGGACCTAGCGCTTGCCCTGCTACCTCTCAGGGTCACTGAGAAGATCAAGTGCAATAGCGGCCAGGAGCTTCTGCCAGCTGGAAGGTTCTCTGCGAATGTGAGGAACAACCTTGTTATCTATGGGCCCAGCTGCAATAAACACTATCTTGGGGAACATCAGCGAACTGCCTGCTCTGACGCAAGCTGAGCATTCACAAGCCCCCTGCACATACCAGCCAGGGGTGCTGCTTGTGTTGGCCGCCACTCCTAAAATTACAAGTTCATGGCCCATTTCCCCACGGTCCAGAGCTGCCCCAACCTCCTCTTCCAGGTTGTGTGTGGTGCCCATCTGTGGGACGGAGGCTTCCTTTCCCAGGGGCGGGCTGCCGGGGTGTGTGGGGCATTGGGACCAGAAGCAGGGAGAGCCATGGTGGTCCAGTGTCCCGAGCCGGAACCAGCTGAAGTATGGGGTTTTAGGGGTGGGAGGGATGTGTCCAGGGTCACTGGTCTGGCCACAAATGGAGCCAGGTCTTGAGCCTAAGGTCCTCCCCTCCCCTGACTGCCATTCCCAGGTGGCTCTTGATGCAGGGCAGGCCACAGGTGTGGTGCACTGCTAAGGCACTTGGACCGAGTCATTCTCAGAGGTGATTCTAGGCCACTCTCTCGCTGTGTGGCCTTGGGCAAGTCACCTGACCTCTCTTCTGTAAAGCAGGGAATTAAGAGAAGCTCTCCTTCCGCAGGCTGTGATGCACAGACAATGAAATGGCGTTTGGGAAGAGAGTGCAGTGAGTTTGAGTCGAATAGTAGCTGCAGGTACTCCATCTGCAAACACATGGTGTACGCGTTGTAGAGAGAACAGGTATGGTTTCCAGATTTGTTTCCAGCCTTGCCTGCTGCTTTAGGAGTTTGCACTTTGCTCCTGAGAAAGACAAATATCCACAAGTAATGTCCAGGTCTGGCTTAGTTACTTGCTGGCTCTGTCACCTGGGGCGAGCTGTTAGCTGCTCTGTGCCTCTGTTTTTGTAAAAGGGAAATAATATTGCACTCCCTAAGGTGCTGTAGGACTCCATGAGTTCACGTAGGTGAGGTGTAGAGAACAATGCCTGGCACATAGTAAAGGCTATGAAAACGTTCATTATTATTAAGAGCACAGCCTTCGGCTTTTGGCTCAGAGGAGGCGAAGGTGTAACTGTCTCCAGCCGCCCCGAATCCGGGTTCATTCCACAGCAGCCACCTCCACCATGCCGCTGAAGTTCGACCCCAGTGAGATCAGGGTTGTACTCCTGGGGCGCACCGGTGGGGAAGTCCGAGCCACCTCTGCCCTGGCCCCCTCGATTGGCCCCCAGGCCCGTCTATAAAAAAAGGTTGGTGATGACATCGCCGAAACAACTGGTGATTGGAAGGGCCTGTGGATTGCAGTGAAACTAGTTGATCAGAGCAAACAGGCCCAGCTGAGGTAGTGCCTCCTGCCTCTGCCCCGATCATCAAAGCCCTCAAAGAACCACCACGAGACAGAAAGAAGCAAAACACCCCTTTTAGCACAGTGGAAATATCACTTTTGATGAGATTGTCAACATTGCCTGACAGATGCGGCACCGATCTTTAGCCAGAGAACTCTCTGGAAGCATTAGAGATGTCCTGGGGACGGCCCAGTCTGCAGGCTGCCATGTTGATGGCCATGTCCCTCAAGACATCACAGATGACGGCAACGATGGTTACACTGGGATGCCAGGCTAGTTGGCAACCGCAGAGGGAAACGTTTCAATTAAAGATCGTTTAACAACCAAAAAAAAGAAAAAAGGAAAAAAAAAGTACAATGGCAAGTAAGTGAAATAAGGATTTTTCTAGATTAGTCTCGGTTCAAAATGTTCTCTTCAGTTGACACAAATCATTAACATCTCGAATCTCCACGCTATGCCTTGCAGACCACCTTGTGCTTCCAGCGAAAGTTCCTCAGATCCTTAGCCGGTTAATGGGAGACCTGTCCTTGTCACTGATGCGCTGTGTGACCCTGGGGAGGTCATGTGCTCTCTCTGTGCCTTTCTGATTGTGGAGTGTGAGAGCAAGGATGGGAGAGCCACATCTGGTACCAGAAGGGTCCCGCTGCAGGGCTGTTAAGTGAAGTACCAGAGTATGGGCACGGGGGGTGGCCAACATCTCAAGAGAAACATGGCACATGTGCCCACCCCGCCTCCTCCCACTCAGCTCCCAGGCTTGGCCCAGAGCGAGGTGTCCTGGGACGGAACATGTCCTCTCCGTGGGATGGTGGAAGCCTGTGTACCCAGAGAGCAGCCATTCCTGACCGTCCCCTGCTTGCGTGCTCCAGCGGCCCCAGGCCTCAGACTCTGGGCCCTGCCAGCTCTGCTCCCCGCCCTACTCACTGCCTCCCTTTGTCCAGCTCTCCTCCCACCAGTTGAATATCAACTGGCTCCAGTCCTCTGCCCTTAACCAGTTTGTGGCATCAAGACTGTCCAGGGAGCCCCAGAAAAATCTTTGGCTCTGGAACCCAGACCCTCGGGGCTTCTGGTTCCAGCTCTGCTGGGTGGCCTTGGGCAAGTGGCAGACCATCTGAACTCCGGCATTCTCACCTGTAAGCTGGGCTGGCGATGAGGTCTGTACATGAGATGGGCATGCAAAGAGGCTGCTGTTGCCCAGGCTGAGTTCAGGGAGCCATGCCCTCTGCGGTCGATCCAGGCCACCTCTCTGTCCCCCCGTCACCAGCTGTTGGTTCATGTCTTTCTCCTTGACCTTGAAGCCCTGCATTGCCGCCTCTTTGCCTTCACACGTTCGGGCTCCTGTTGGGACCGTCCTTTCTCTCTGTTCATCTCAACCCTTCCAGTCTGACTGTCTTCCCACCCCCTCCCTGGAACCTTCTGGGCTGACCTCGGATGTTCTCTCTATCTCTCCGTCGGAAGGAAAAGACACCATCCGACTGCCTGGTGGGTTGTTTGTCCCACGCGAGTCTGTGTGTGTGAAAGAGACACAGACACAGATGTACGAATCTAGTTCTCTCAGGAAACAAACAAACCCCTTTCACTTAAGAACTGGGACTTCTACCCCTCTAATCAAATAGCCCGAATTTAATCAAATACTAAGTGGAGGGGCACGGCAAGCAGGTGAGCTTTTGGTTTCCAGCATCTTGGATCTAGAAAGACTTTGTGGGCTTTCCAGATGAGCAGGTCAGCTAATGGTTGCCTGGCCGAGTGGACAGAGAAGGGTCTGTCCATTTTCAGTTCCTATCCCTCATCTGCCTCACTTGCCCATCAGTCCGTCCTCCCTGCCTCATAGTCGTAGCTGCTGGCTGACGTTCATTGAACGTTAACCCTGCCCCTGGGCTCTGCTTTAGGCCTTTCCATGTATTAACTCCTATCATCCCTACAACGCCCTCCAGCTTTCATGAGTCTCCCACTTGGCAGATGAGAAGCCTGAGGCACAGAGGTGTGGGATCACTGGCCCTGCATTACCCGGCGTGAGACGGGCAGAGGCAGGATCTGAACCTGGAGCCCCAGCTCCAGAGCTCGCTCTTACTGCTGCTGAGTGGCCTCCGCAGCCAATCCCCACTGACCTCACTGTCCTTCCGCCCACTTACGGACACGCCTCACCCGGCCGGCAGCGTGTCAGGTTCGGCCGGCACACGGACTGCCACTGTCCGCAGGGCGAGATCCCTGCTCTCTAGGAGCTCGCCCCGTGCTGAGGTGGCTACCAGCAGACACTAAAAAATTCAGCGAGGTCTTGAGCGCCTGCCTGGGGTTCTGGGAGCTTGGGGAGACGCTGTGATTGCCTGCTAGGCTGCGGTGGGGTGGGGTAGTTCAACGGAACTGAGGTGGAGGCGAAGGGGTGGTGGTAGGACTTCATCGGGTGAACAGCAGGGAACATTCCAGACCAGGGAACGCAATGTACAGAGGTATTGAATCTGGAGGTGCTTGGGGGACAGCTGGCATGTCATCAGAGCCCTAATGACAAAAAATGACTTGGAAGCAGGCAGGCTGCCACCACCCCTCCCTGAACACTCTTGTGTTTGTTTTCTGATGGGAGGCGTTCAGCAGCTAGAGGTCTGAGTTGTGCGCCATGCCCAGCACCTGGCCCACCGCCCTCTGGGAAGCCCTTCCTTGGGTCGGACCTGCAGCCCACTCTGACCCCCACACATTGCCTTCTAAGCCCTTCACTCAGAGGCTTCTTCATGGCAGCCATAAATAATTCTAACAGTGAATGAATCAAGTCCTGGCCAGCTAGGCTTGCCAGAGGCACTGGGCTTGGCTGAGAGAGAGATTCTAAGTCTCCTGGCCCTGACCCTGCAGCTGAAATGTTCCCGGGCTGGTCTTCAGCAGCGCTCTCTCCCTGGGCAGCTACCGCAGCCCAATTTGGTCTTTCAGGCCCCCCCGCCCCCGCAACCCCAACTCCACTCCTCTTGCCCACCAAGAGCACAGGGAGCACTCAGCACTTCTGGACAGCCACAGCGACTTGGAAGAGCCAAGAAGGCCCAGCTGACAGCCCAGAGGACGGGTTCCCAGCAGGCTCCGGGCTGGTTCTGTCTGTTCCCTGTGTGTGTCTATGGGGATTAGGAGCTGGGAAGTCCGGGGTAAGTCTTTCCTTTTCTTGGCGCCTCAGTCTTCCCACCTGGGCCATGGGATAATCCCTACGGCACAGTTTTCTAAGCAAAATGTCTGGGAGATTCTGACTGAGTAGGTATGGGGTGAGGGAAACAGGAATTTATTTGCAGGGGTGTGCCTCTATTATTTCTCTTGTCTTTTCAAAAAGATTTTATTTACTTATTTTTAGAGAGAGGGGAAGGAAGGGAGAAAGAGAGGGAGAGGAACATCAATGTGTGAGAGAAACATTGATCGGTTGTCTCTTGCACACCCCCTACGGGGGACCTGTCCCAAAACCCAGGCCTGTGCCCTGACCGGGAATCAAGCCTGCGACCTTTTGGTTTGCAGGTTGATGCCTAACCCACTGAGCCACCCCAGTCAGGGCTAAGAGTCTAAAAGTTTTTAACTCTCATTAAACAAAACCTCCAGAGGGGAGAGGGCTACAAAGATTTAGAAGTCATATAACAAAGGAAAATGCACACTAGTCAGGGCTAATTTCTCTTCTTAAATTTGAATACAGTCACTCCCTTAAACTCAACCCTTCCCGCCCTCCCTAACACTTCCTTATATCAATTCTTACCAGATCCTCAACACCTAAGGCACAGGCAGGGTGGGGTTATTAGCCATCAGATGAGTTTTTACATGTAGTATGTGTACTTTTAACTGCCTCCCTGATCACTGTAAAGAACACTTCCATCACTCCAGAAAGTTCCCTCATGCCCTTCCCAGTCCATACCCCTCCCAGGTAACCGCTTGGGAAGAGGACTTTGCCCAGTCACCGCAGGTCAGTTCTGGGGCTGGTACATTTAGGGAAATCCGCTCAAAGGACCCTCCCCAGCCCAGACATTCCAGGATTGTGACCTCTGGGTTGGAGGCTCTTTAACAAATAACAGTCCCTCTGGCCCCACCAGGCACAGCTGGGAAGCACAGGGATGACCCAGGTGGAACTTCAGAGGGCTTCCAGGCCCGGGAGCGGGAGCGGGGTGGGGGAGGAGTGTTCCTGTGGTAGAGAGAGCCTGGGGCTAGGGCTGCGGGGTGTGGCTCAACACCTTCCATGGCATGACCCCTGGGTTACCTTCTCCACACTCCGCCCCCAGCCTCTGTTCCTTCACCTGGGGAGAGGGACGACTGTGAGTCACTCTCTGGGTGGTGACTGAGGATTGAAATAAGATCAGCCGGTTGTGCTCAGCACACCGCAGTGCTCTCCTGCACGGGAGACTTATGCTGGCGGGGGTGGGGGTGGCGGGGGGCGGGCAGGGTCAGACCCAACCGACGTCACACGGCTGGGGAGTGGTGGAACTGGGACCTGGGCCAGACTTGCTGGCTATGTGACACTTAAGTGAATGACTTCACTAATAAGCCTCAGTTTCCCCATAAGTCAAAGGGGCTAACAAGCCCCAGCCTGCCTTTTATCACTAGGATGTTGTGAGGATCTGCTGCTATTCGAGATAAGGGACTATTGAGAAAGAAAAAGGTTCGATTGAGTAGTGTGACTGGTTTTCCTGTTTTCATGGTGACTTCAGTAGCCTTTCTGGGGCAAGGAATAAAGGACCTCCCTTGGCACCGAGAGGGTAAAAGCACCCCCCGAGATCTTGGGACCTGGGGTGTCCCAGGAGACAGGAGGGATGATTGGGAAAGGCCTGCCCTTGTCAGCACGCCGCCGGCTTTCCTTCTAGGCTGTGTGGGCGTCAAGCGGCCTCAGCTCTCAGAGCCTCAGTTTCTGAATCTGTGAGAGGGGAACCATAATCCGCATCCTGACTTCTTGAGATGTTGTTGGGACCCAAGAGAACATGGAAAAGGGGGGAGGGGCATTTCAGAAGCAGAAAGGGCCCCTCCAGGTAGGTGGCAGCTCAGCTACTTCCAGCTTGTGTGCCGCCTCGCAGGTGACCGCTGGCTTTGGGCCAGCGCCCGAGGAGGCTTGGTTGAAGCCTCGCTGCTCCCCTGCAAAGCTGGTGTCATCCCAGTTCCCAGGCAATGCAGGGCGGGGCCGGGTTTCAACTGTGGAGACTAACAGATCTGGGTTCAAACTCCGGCTCCACTGTCGCACCTCTGTGCGCCTGTTTCCTTCATCTGTAAATGAGGATGCTAGGACCTAGCTCATATGTGGCCTGGCACACAGCTGGTGCTAAATAAGAGTTCCCTGGCCCTTGCCAGGTGGCTCAGTCAGTTGGAGTGTTGTCCCATAGACCTAAAGGTTGTGGGTTTGATTTTCAGTCAGGGCACATACCAGGTTGTAGGTTCAATCCCTGGTTGGGCTGCGTATAAGAAGGCAATCAATCAATGTTTCTCTCTCACATTGATCTTTCTCTCTCTTTCTCTCCTCCCCTTCCTCTCTCTCTAAATGGAATGAGATAGTGTCCTTGGGTGAGGATTAAAGAGTCAGAAGAACAGTTCCCCGTATTCTGGGCATGGGTTCACCCTCTGGGTGGTTCCGCACAGACTCAGGTTCCTGGGCTTATAAATGGGGTGCACAGCAGCTGCTGCTGCTGGGGAAAAACTGACTGTGGCCTGGCCAAGCGTTCCTTTCCTGCTGTTGTTTTTATCCCACAATGTGCCAGCACAATGCTGGTACACAGTAGGTGCTTTTTCTACCTTGGCCAGTCAGAAATGTCCAAGGGAACAGGGGCTGTGTCTGTCCTCTTCGCTCTGAGTCCCTAGTACCTAGAACAGAGCTGGGGAGACAGCAGGTGCTCAGTGAATGTTCAAGAGCGAAGGATGAATGAACGAAGGTGAGCGAACAAGCGTCAGGTGCGAGAGGATGAGGCTGGGGGAGGGGAGCTTTGTGGGCTATTCCCCTCCCATTTTATCCCTCCTGGGCTAATCCACAAAGATTAACCTGGGGACAAAGCCAGGTCACTGACCACTGACCCAGGGCTTTGGAGTGAGCGTCCAAGGCTAGTGTGACCAGACGTGTACAGGGCGTGGAGGCCACTCCCAACAACGCCTTTCACTTCAAGATGGCCCTCCTGTCCCCCACCCTGGACATGGTCCTCACAGCGGCCCTCAGCATCCTCTTCCTGGTGCTCGCCTTGGGCCTGCTGTGCTTCTTCACCTGCCGCCTGGCCAGGCCGCTCAGGTAGGAGCACTCACATGGCCCGACCTCCTCTCCTGCCAGCCTCCTGCCTAAACTCCTTTAGCCCCCTGTTTGCTCTTGTGGGTTAGGGAAAGGGAAGACCTAGCCTCTCTCCCCGTTGTGGTGGAGAAACTGAGGCCCAAAGAAGTCGGGTCCGCCTGGGGTTGAATTGCACTTGGCGGTGGACAAGCTACGCTCAGTTTCCTAAATTGTAAGATGCGGGACTAGCAATGCTTGGAGGATTCCGTGAGATCACAGGTGTAAACAGTTAGCACAGGGCTGGGTATAAGAGAGCCCAAGAAATGGTAGTGATTTTTATCAGTTCTATTATTATGTCATATGCCCTGGACCTTTGAGACCCAGGCCAGGGCTGGCTTTTTGCCCAACTCCCAAGGCTCCCGTGCTTCTGCCCCAGGATGCTGACTCAGGGCCAAGGCCCAGCTGCTCAGCTCTCTCCCATGACCTGCCAAGTAGCTGGTCCTTCTCCCCGGGCCAGAGCCAGAGCCAGAGCCAGAGCCAGAACCGGCCAGGGCATCTGCACACTTGTCATGAATAATCAGGGCACGTAGCTGGGAGCCTGGCAGAGACGGTCCGGCTGGGAGGTGGGGCTGACGGGGCTGACACACACTCGGATGCTCCATTCTGAGCTGGCAGAGCATTGGCAGAGGGTGGTGGGCAGCCGGGGCCCCCGCAGCCCCAGGCTGGGCCCCACGGTGCCCATCACCCGGGGCTGCCAGAGAGCAGACTTGAAGCCTTGGAGTGGGGGTGGGAGCACGGGAGGGGGAGCCAGCAGGGGAGTCTGGCTTCTGAATGGCTTCCTGGATTCCCACCCCCTCTCCTTTCCAAGCAGAGGCAATGAGAGAAGGCACGTGTCAGTCTCCAGGACAAGCCCTTCTCAATGTCATATCCCTGGGGCCAGAATTCAGAACACTGCAGCCTATACCATGGGGTCTTTCATTCAGTCAGCATTTACAGAGCCGCTTCAGTGTGCATGGGCTTAGAGATGGATAAATGGTCTTCACCGTCACAAAGTGACTGTCTAGCAGAGAAGAGAGGCCAACAAACAGGCATAACCATTGCAGGGCTGGATGAGCCTTTAGGCCTCCTGAGGCCACCCTCCACTTTGATCTTTCCTTATTATTTGTTTGTTTTGGGCCTTAGGTGCAGAGAGTGTTGAATGAGTCATATCTCTCAGGGCATGATGTAGGATCATGAGCTCAGTTCTTGTTTTATTTATTCATTTTGCCCTTCATCCCTGCTCCCCATGACCAATCCCGTCACTCCTGAAAGGTCCTCATGTTAATGTGTTTTAATATGTCCTTGAATTTGTATGTGTCCTCGTAAATTATGCTATTTCCTGTACGTGGGTGTGGCTTGTATAGCTGCATTTTAGTCCTTGCATTCTTCACTCAATCCTGTGTTTAAGCTTCATTCATACTACTGTTTTGACTTCTGGTTTTAATACCACTGCCACATAGATATTGCCGCCACCACCTTTATTAATTCATTCCTCTAGTTATGGCGAGAGAGTTTGCCCCAAATCCTCATAAACCAGTGGTGATGGGACTATGCTAAATGTTTCTCCAGGAAGCATGATGGTTTCTGTAGGTTTTGGTATAAAGTCTTCCTTAAGTTAAAAGAATACTTTTAGGTCCCTGGTTTTCTGAGGGCTTTTATCATATAGTTGTCTCTGTCCCCATTCCCTCTTCCTACATGATCTCATCAAGTGTTATCAATGCTTAAATATCACCTATATGCCCAGGTTTCCCAAGTGTATACCTCCAGCGAAGACCTCTCCCCTAAGTGCCAGGTGCATATATCCAGCTGTCCACAGATGTCTTCACTTCTGAGAGACATCTCAGACTCAACATGTACAAAACCACGTAACTTATATTCTCCACCAAAGCTACTCCATCTCACACCTGAAAATACTACCCCAAATGCTGAAAGACTGAATGCTTTTCCTCTAAGATCAGGAACAAGGCAAGGATGTCTGCTCTTGCTTCTCCAATTTAACATGGTGCTGTAAGTCCTAGCCAGTGCAATAAGACAAGAAAAAGAAATAAAGAGCATACCAATTGGAAAGGAACAACTAAAACTCTCCCTGTTTGTCAATGACATGATTATTTATACAGAAGATGGCAAAGAACCCACATACATACACACAAAACTCTTAGAACTAGTAAGTGAGGTTAGCAAGGTCATCAGATACAAGGTGAAACATAAAAAATCAATTGTATTTCTTTGTATTAGCAATGAACAAGTTAAAATAATGATATTATAAGAGCAACCCCCAAAGTGAAATATATTGGTATAAATTTAGCAAAACACGTACAGGATCTGTGTGCTGAAGACTACCATAGACAAGATGTATGGAGAGACATACTGTGTTCATGATTGGAAGAGTGAACATTGCAAAGATATAAACTCTTCCCAAACTGATCTATAGAGTTAATACAATGCCAAGCAAATGATAGTGGTGGAGAACAGAGCCGGGGTTGCCAGGTGTAGGGAAGGGACAGGTCGAGGTTGTGGGGAGGCTTCTGGGACTACAGTGAGACAGTGCGAGAGAGTTGTTTGGAGTGTGGAACTGTGTGCATCTTGATTGTTGTGGAGGTCACACAAATCTATTCACATGTTAAGCCTCAGAATCTTCATTCTACATTTGGGGAACCAGAAGCCCCACGCTTGAATGGTTCCCCAGGGATAACCTCCTTCCTAAATCTGGAATCAGCAGCTCTGTAGTCAGGGCTACCTGCTACCTACTCTGCTACCTGCTTGTTTGTAATTTTGGGCAAATCACATTTCCTTTAAGAACCTTGGTTTTCTCAGCTATAAAGAGATCAGAAGTCCCTCTCTGTTCACTGTATAGGTTACTAGTGAGAAATTGTGAAAGTCCGTATAACCAGTGAACTGTGTGTGGTTCTCAGGCCTTTTTCTTTTTTTTTTCTGAGTCCTTGATAGATTGTTTAAATAAGTTCTCAAAGAGTAACATTTTTATATTATGGAAGTATAACGTACATGCATAAAGTGTCCATATCGTAAATAGACAGCTTATTGTGTGTTCAGAATGAACGCATCCAGCACCCAGATCAGTCACAGAACAGTGCCTCACAGTCCCCTGAGCCCCCTTCAGTCTCCATACCCCACAGCGTCGTCTTTATCTTGTCTTCTAACACACTTGGTCAGTTTTTATACTTTGTATCACGGGAGTCACAGTATATGTACTCTTGGGTCTGCGTCCTTCACTCATCCTCACCTTCACAAGATTCACCCATGCTGTTTGGGGAGTTGTCGATTATTCGTTCTCATTGCCGTGTAGATTTCCACCTTGTGACCCTGCGCCATGTCTTTAGTGGCCTGCTGAAGATGGACACAGTTTTGAGGTCACTAGGAACAGAGCTGATAAGAACATTCCTCTGCACGTCTTTTAGTGAACTTGGAAACCAACGGTTTGAAGGGCACATGAATGGTGTGAGCCCTGGGAGAACTGCCAGTTTTCCCACTTGGGGGTGCCAATCTGTACCCCACCAGCGACAAGGGTATGCCCCGGGAGTCCCACATCCTTGCCAACGCTTGGACTTTTCTGCACACACAAAGGAGGGTTTTGGGGTGGTTCTTTCCTTTCTCCCCTCCCTCCCCCTTAGAGCACTGGCTTTCAACTGGGGTAAATATTTGTTGTGCCAAGCACTGGAGTACAAACAAGGCAAAGTCCCTGCTCTTGGAGGCTCCCGGCATGGTAGGTGAGATGGATTAGGAAAGAATTACTACTTCCAAAACAGGGGGGTACATGCAATAATTAAAATAATATGAAGTTTGGAGGTAGTATTATTGGCATGGGCGATCGTCCTGGGGGCTTCCTGATGGCAGTATTGTAAACTATTTTGACTAATATTTAACATTTTTTTGAATTTTTTTAGATTTTATTTATTTTTAGAGAGAGGGGAAAGGAGGGAGAGAGAAACATCAATGTGCAGGAGAAACATTGATTGCTTGCCTCTCGCACACCCCCAACTGGGGACCTGGCCTGTGACCCAGGCACATGCCCTAACTGGGGATTGAACGGCCGACCTTTGAGTTAGAAGGCCAGCACTCCATCCACTGAGCCACAAGAGCCAGGGCTCTTTTGAATAATATTTTAATGTATCAGTGTTGTACATCAATTTAATAACATTTTAATGGTGGTAGAATTTACTCTAGAAATGTTTGGAAACTAAAGTAGAATTAAAAAATCAGAAATCACCTGAAATGCCACCACTCAGAGCTAAGCGCTTGCGTTAGAAGTAGCGCGTTTCTTTCCCATTCTCGCCCTCCCCTCCCCCATGGCCACGCTGGGTGTAAGCAGCCAGGTGCGTGGGGAAGGGGGCAGAGAAGCACAGGGCTGTGCAATGGACGGCGTGTCTGGTGAATGCGGGGTGCTTTGGGGGACGTGGGGCCGGTGACTCTTGCCTCTGGAGTCCAGTGTGAATGTTTTTAAGGTTGAATCAAGATTGCTTTTCCAGTGGTGGAGTGCTTTCTTATCTATCACGACAGTAACAGCAGAGTGTTGTACGTCCCTGCTGTTTCTCCTGTAAAAAATACCATAAACAGAACAACTCCACCCTGGGGTTGGAGCTGCCATCCCTGAGGAACCGCCGTGCATTTGCTACCCCGCAAACTGTTGAGGTATTACAACTGGGCAAAATAACCTTTGGACTAGGCCTCAATCAGCACTATAGTCAAACAACCGTTTTCAAAAATAACAGGAAAGCAAAAAAAATAGGACTACGATGACATTCTGGCTGAAAACTAATGACATTCTTTAAAATTAACATCACTATGTTAGTTTATCTGCACCTGTAGAGAAAGTCCTTTCTTAGTTTATCTACACCCTTAAAAATCCTTTCCTTCTACAGATATAATTGTTCCCCTTCTCTTTCTCACAAAGACCTCTTACCTTCAACTCCTAATCTAAAGCCCAATCGGGTTCCTGCCTGAATCAATGCTTCCCAGAGTTGCAATTCTCTTTGGATCTCTTATCTGAGACTTTAAAAAAAAAAATATTTAGGTAAACACAACAAATGGAATAATCATTTTTACCTTGGTTTTGGTGCAAATAATATTTCCCAGTGAAGCTCTTGCCATTTAAAATTCTTCATCTTCTAGTAGCATTATATACAACAGAGCAGGCACATTTCTCAGCTGCCAGCGGGGTTATCCCTTGTGGACCAAACAGGCTAATCACAAGTTAAAAACATTCTTATACCATTAATATGTGCTCATTTTTAGGCAATTTGGAAAACTGAAAAAATAAAATAAAAATGAATGAATGAATGAATGAATGATCATTCACAGTCCTACTACCCAGAGAAAGCCACAGTTAATATTGTGGTGTGTTTCCTTCCAGTCTTTTTTTTTTTTTCCAAATAATATTTTTAAAAAATTACAAAGGTAACTTCTCAACAAAGAAGGAAATTTGGGAAATGCAGAAAAAAATCATCAGTCATCTGTAGTGTTACTATCCAGAAATACTCACCCTTATCAGCCAGTCTTTTCCTGTATGTCATGCCTATAGTTTTTGTATCTGTCACCATTAATGACTAAGCTCTAGAAGATAATGTAGCAAATGTAGGTGTCCCTCTAAGAAAAGGTGGACTCTTTTTTTTTTTCTTTTTAAGAAATATGGTCTCTGATGTTCTGGGACACAGGTAATTAAAAGCCTGAAAACTGATGTTCTAGAACAATGCTTTTCAAGGTGTAGTTCATGAACCAGCAGCAGGGGCGTCACCTGGGAGCTTGTTGGCAATGCGGTCAGAATCTCTGGGCGAGGAAGGGGAGAGGAGGGCAGAATCTCGTTTCACAAGCCCTGTAGGAGTTTCTGATGCGTGCTACGGTGCCACGCATGCCACAGAAAGACCGAACTCTGGTGGGTTCAGATGGACTGAAAGTGGGAGTTCACTTGGGCAATGGAAGGAACCGCTTTGCAGCATAGTACTCATTTAAAATTCAACAACTGTGTGATTAAGCTTCCTGAGGAGGGGACCACCTAGGTTTGTAACCCCAGGCCTGGCCCGTAACGGTGCTCAGCAGCTACTTAATGAATGAACCAACAAAGAAATTAAGTGAATGAACATAGGAACTCTCGAGCTGTGGCTCACATGTCTTTTAATTTTTTCTTTTGGTTCATTTCTAGGATCGGAACATCGGCTAACATCACCTAACGGGTTGACCACTGCCAGCCCACCTCCTCCCACCCTGTCCCACCCACGTCGATTGTACCTCTGGGCTCTGGAGAGGGAACGGGCCTTGGAGAGCACCATGATTTCAGCGTTCTTAGTGCTGGCCGTCGGCACCTGCCTCGCAACCTCCTTAGTGCCAGGTAGGGCTGGGGGGCACGGGCGGAGGGCAGCGAAGACCTGCTGCAGGGAGGGCGGGACGAGGGCATTGTCTATGTTCAGGGTCATGGAACCGTCCAAAGTATTTAAGAACTGGAAACCAATGTTCCGCCCGGGAAACGCCAGCTCTGCCCCGCATGTGACTGTGTTGTAAGTCACACTTCCCCCTTTATAATTTCCTGTTCTTTAAAAAACAATTAATTTTTACTTTACTGATTTTAGAGAGAGAGAAGAAGGGAGAAAGCTGTTTTCTTGTTCTTTAATTGGGGTTTCTCTTTGCTCGTTTCTCTGATAATCTGAAATACAACTTATTCTATACGTTCCTCCAAGCCCTGGTCTCCTGTTGGATTTTTGCCTGCTGGAGCGGTGCATTTCCTTGTGGTTTGTAATTCTGGCTTGGGAACTCATCTTCAACGAGAGTTTGTTTTGCCTTTTGTTTTCGATTGGAGGCTCATATGGGAGTGTTTCCACAGTATTACATTTGATTTTTCAAGCGTCTTAGTCGGAAAGGGGAGTCCTCTTTGGCGCAGTCTGTTATGCGGCTGGAAGCTCCCCACTTGCCCTCTCCAAGCCTTCATTTCTCCATCTGTTCAGAGGAGATAACTTCTCCTTAAGGCTATTGGGGGAAGGACATGGGACAATCCTAGTGTCTGGCAGGGAGGGGGAGCTCTTAGGAAGATTAGGGAGTTGGGGTACAGAGAAGGGCTGGCCCTCCCAGGCCACGCAGCGAGTCCGTTGCAGAGCTGGGACTAGAGCTTGGGTGGCGGGTTCCCGGGCCACCATTCCCTCTGTTATCCCTTGATGCCTCCCCTTGTGTATCTGTGGGGACCCAGGTCACTCTGGGACTGAGTCCCTGCTTTCTCAGCACTCACAGCCCATCTGGGTGACAAGTGAGTGAGCAGGTGGGTAAAAAGGGAAAGAATGAAAAAGTGACAAAATGAGAGGTTTTCCAATATTCAGCATTTCAATTTTTGGTGATCTGTTTCATTTTAGCCATTCTGATGCATGTGCTGTGGTAGTACCTTGTGTTTCCTCTCCCCTCCCCTCCCCCCTCCTCCTCCTCCTTCTTCCTTAAATATTTGGTATAGCTTACACTAAAGGACACAAATCTTACATATATAGCTTGATGAGTTGAAAGAGTATTTCCAGTCAAGGTCCTATCCTGTGTCCGTCCCAACAAACCCCCACCCCGACCCCCAAGCCAAAGGAAGTGACTAGGTGTATTTCTGCCACCAAAGGTGAGTTTTGCCTCCTTTGAACTTCATGTGAACAAAACCGCGCAGTATGTACTATACGATGACAAGCACTCTTTACATAACATTGTGTCATGAGCGTTTAAGCATGTCATGTAACGGTTTCTGAAAGCGATGGCCTCCTGATACTCAGCTGTCCAAAGCCTTCATGGCTTCCATCAGTTCTCTGACAATGAAGTCAGTTTGACATCCACTGCACCGTTCTGAGGGACAAGTGCCGCGATGGCCCTGGTGTAAGGGACAAGGGCCCTGCAGGAGGCAAACACAACAGGGAACTTGGCAAACTGCTGACAGGGCTTGTGTGGGGAAGGAGCAACAGGCGCAGGGCCACCGGGGGCGGTGCGGGGAGAGGAGGGCAGGGTGGGAAGAAGTTCATGACCAGCCAGATGGCATCCAAATGGCCACAGAAGGTCCTGGACTGCAGCCTGGGCACTGTGGCGGGTATGGAGGACGGCGGGAAGGAGGCCGGAACTAGCCCAGAGCCAGCGGGATCCCGGATCAGAACCTATGGCCCGGCACACTTTCCGGGCTTTACTTCATTTAATCCCAACACTGCAGGTCGCGGTGTTCCCCCTCGTTCCTGGGGCAGACACCGCGGTGGCAGGGACGCGCCTGGATGCACACAGCTGGTGGAAGGGCCAGGGCTTCAGCTGGGGGCGCTGCCACTGGGGCCTGAAGTTAGTGAGCTCAGCGGACCCCTTCAGAAGAGAGGGATGGCGCTGGGGGCTGTCCCCGTGAAGGTGGCAGGCTTAGGGATTGGCGTGGGGCGACCTCAGGGGAGACCTCTTCGGGGAGCGGTGTGAAGCATGGATGTGTCCCAGGCTTGAGGTCAAGAACTGCTTCCTTCCACCTTCTCGCTCCCCACGCCCGAGGCGGGCACTGCCCCGTCGATGGGTGGGTTTCCTGTTTTTCTTCTTCAGCTCTAATCTCGGCACCCTCTCTTTCATTTTGTACTGCGGAGGAAATCATTGCAGTGACCCCAGCAAGTTTGCCTGGAAACTGTGCTTGTGAGAAAGGAGCGCTGTGCTCTTCACCCACAGTTGTCCGGAAAGGCAGCTCAGGCCCGAGCAAGGCCCAGGGATGAGGGTCGTGTCCTCAGCCCGTGAACACGCGGCATGGCCTTGGATAAGACCCTCCTATGCCTCCTGGACTCAGTCTTCCCCTCTGGGCAATGGGAGGCCATTGAAAATGAAAAAGAGAGTCCCGGCAGAGCTGCCGTCTCCAGGCTTCTGTAGCCCAGTGGCAGGTTAACGGGGGCCAAGTACAGAAGGGAGCCCGGCAGCCAGTGGGAGGGCCCCTGAGTCTTGTGAGCGGGGAGCCTGGGCCTCTGTCTCGAAGAACAAGGGAGTCAATTACTGGTGATGGAATTACTAGGCAGTGGGAGGGGGGCCTTTAGTCCTCTCCTGTGGGACAGGGGTGTCCCTTGCCTTATCTAGTCCCGTCCTCATAAGACCCTGAGAGGAAGGTACAAACAACAGCATTTGAAGGAGAGGAAACTGAGGCTCAGGGAGGTGATTGTCTACACAGGCGATACTTGGCACAGCAGGGCAGGGTGGGCAGTTGAGGTCCAGCAAGCACTAGAGCTGTGCTCTTCCCTCTGGGGGATTGGCTACTGGACACACACAAGTGAGGGAGACAGCAAGGGAGAGAGAGAAGGAGGGAGGGAAGAGAGCGTGCCTGGCTCCACTTTATCTCAAGATTAGGGACGCTGACCATGCTCGTTTACTCCAACAGCAGTGAGCTTGTGCGTAGGTATCTCAACTTGCCACCTTAGACAAAAGGCAAGTCTTTAGACAAGAGGCAGGTCTTGCTTTTCAGCACTGCTGTTAATGCTGTCACTAAGTCAGGTTTCTGCTGAACCTACGTTAATCAGTAAGCCACGCAGAGTATATAATTGATGGCTGGAGGTGCCTGGGGACTCCTGCAGTTGGAAGTAGTTTGTTCTCGTGAACAGCTTAAACATTACCTTCCTAATCACGCTAGCACAAATTCATTTGCTGCCTTAGCAAAATGTCCCTTTACTGGGAGAAAGGAAAGAGCCTGGGCTTTGGAGTGAAACACAGCTCTGCCAGTGTCTGCCAGTGCTGTGTGGCCTTGGGCCAGTGGCTTGGTGTCTCTGAGCCTTGGTTTCTTCATTCTGAGATTTGGGGAGAAGACCCAGGGTCCACAGGCTTGTTTGGAGGATTGGACTGGAAAAGATTTACAGGCCACAGGATGACTGTCCGATGGGCAACCACTGCTCCCTCCTCAAGTCCTGACACCTTCCCTCAAGCACGAGAAGTTGGGGTATATGTCAGTCTGGGGATTAGAAGCTAGTGCCACCCTCTGCCAAATAACTGTCTGCCTTGCTATCTGTACAGAGAAAGAGAAAGACCCCAAGTACTGGAGAGACCAAGCTCAGCAGACCCTGAAAAATGCCCTGAGGCTTCAGAATCTCAACACCAATGTGGCTAAGAATATCATCATGTTCCTGGGAGATGGTGAGGCCTGGGAGCCCCATGGTGGGGCTGGGCTGGGTACCTAGGTAGGGGCCCACAGAGCCAGCCAGAGGTGAAGGGGGCTGTGCTGAAGAGGCTGGAGCCCTGGGGAGCATGTTTAAGAGGATGGGGGGCCACTCACGAGGTCTGCTGTGTCAGGTGGCCCCCGGAGGGTCTGGGGAGGGATGGGAGGGAAGCCTGCCCAGCCACACTTACAGAGCCCTGCTCTGGCGCCCGCTGCCCAGCCTGGAGAGCTACGGGTGACCCAGAAGGCTGATTGGAGAGGCAAGAAGCCTGAGAGGCTGAGGCCCCCCTTTTTCCACCACAGGGATGGGCGTCTCCACGGTGACAGCGGCCCGCATCCTCAAGGGTCAGTTGCACCACAACCCTGGGGAGGAGACCAGGCTGGAAATGGACAAATTCCCCCACGTGGCCCTCTCCAAGGTGAGCTCCAGCGCCAAGCCCACTGAGCCTAAGCCTCCTGCCGCTCAGCTTGACCACGTGCACAAAAGGGCCCTGGCAAGGTGGTCGGCCCTCCTGGGATCTCCGAGGCCCCTTGTGAAATGAGGACAGAGGCAGCTACTTCCCAAGGCTTCCTTTGGAGGGTTTTAGCTCACCGATGTTTAAAAATCTGTTGAAGAATAACATACACAGAGAAAAGTGCACAAGTGCACAAGTGCACAGCTTGAATTTCCACAAACTGCACCTGTCCGTGTAACCAGCGTCCAAGTGGAGAAACTGGGCATGCAAGCAACCAGAGGTCCGCCTGAGCCCCTGTCCTAGCCGTAGCCCCCTGCCCACCCACCCGCAGATTAGCTGTTCCTGCTTTTGGACTTGATATGAAGGGAATCATGCAGTACATCCTCTCTCCCAAGGTGGTTCAGGAAGTTAATCAGATTACTGATGTCAAGTGGTGGCTGTTGTTACTGATGTGGGCGTGGGGGATGGTGGTGTCTGTAATAAGGACTCTCTGCACACTCTAAGGGAGTAGCGGAGACCGACTCCTGTCTTCTGTGCCTTCAAGGAGCCATCAGGCTGGTGGGAAGGGAGATTCAGGGGCTCCATTAGAGGCCTGAAGGAGGGGGAGCCGCTTCCTCAAGTCCCCACTTTAGATCTGCCTCCTCCTCACTTTCCCTCCCGTTCCCCCAGCCCCGCCCACTTCTTCAAGAACCCACCCCCCTTCTCCAGGACTTGCCAGCCTCTCCAGCCCCCTGCCGGCTCCTGCAGCCCCAGACCCAGAGAGAGGCCCTGCTGGTCCCGCCCCTATTCCCCTGCCAACTGTTTCCATGTGTTGGACAGTTGCCTTCTTGCCCCTTCCTGCTGCCCTGGCTGCCAGGGCAGAGGGAGTTGGGGCAGGAAGCAGGCAGCTAGGGGATCCAGTGGCTCTGGGGGGACCTCAGGGAGCATCAGGGCTCAGCCAAGGCTGTGGGAGACCTCACTGCCTCCCTCGTGCCCCAGGCCTCATGGTGTGAGTGGGGTGTGGGGGAGAGGCAGGGCGGGCCAGGGCCTGGCGTCTCCCAACCCTCCTTCCCCACCTGCAGACATACAATACCAACGCTCAGGTCCCCGACAGCGCGGGCACCGCCACTGCCTACTTGTGCGGGGTGAAGGCCAATGAGGGCACCGTGGGGGTGAGCGCAGCCACCCAGCGCTCCCAGTGCAACACCACTCGGGGGAACGAGGTCACCTCCATCCTGCGCTGGGCCAAGGACTCTGGTGAGTGGGGGGAGCGGGGCTGGCTCTGTGACGGCCTGGGCCTCAGTCTTCCCAACTGTGCAGGAGGAGAGGGTGGAAAAAGGACGCTCTCGAGGGCTCTTCCCGCTGCGGCGCTCCGAGCGTCTGAAATAATCACGGGATCCTGTCCAGGACAGGAAGTCTAGTGGTTTAGGAGCCCGCTCCAGTGTGGGTCCTGGAGCATTTCCCCGAGTCTATTCATTTCACTGTAAAATGGGCATGAAAACAGCCCCCTCATAGGCTTGGTATGAGGAAGGCAAGGGCCTAGCCCAGTGCCAGCCCCGCGGGGGTTCAGTAAACGTCCCTCCTCCCTTCCTCTTGGAACCAGGAGGCCCTGACCCACCTCCCCAGGAACTTTAGAGTCAGGGTGCAGGGCCGGCTGACATAGGTGACAACACTACCACCCGAGAGCCCTTAGGAGGGGCCCCTGTGTCCTTGCAGCGCACTTGGCCGAATTGGGGTGCTTTCTGCCGGCGTGGGGTTCGGCAGGGTCCACACTGGAGCGGAGGACCCCAGCCCAGGAGCTCACAGCTCAAGGGTCCTCCAGGGGGCAGGCTGTCTGAGCTGCCAGGGTATATGGAAGCCACCATCCCTGCCCCCCGCGTTAGTAATGGGGGGACTGAAGCCCAGGCAGTCATGCAGCTAACAGGAGGAGGGCAGCTTGCTCGCCGCCGTCTCCAGAGGAAGCCAACTCCTCCTCTCCCCCAGGGAAATCCGTGGGCATCGTGACCACCACGCGAGTGAACCATGCCACCCCCAGCGCCACCTACGCCCACTCTGCTGACCGGGACTGGTACTCAGACAACGAGATGCCGCCAGAGGCCCTGAGCCAGGGCTGCAAGGACATTGCCTACCAGCTCATGCACAACATCAGGGATATCGAGGCGAGTTCAGGGGATGCAGCCGGTGCAGGGACCCACGGGCTGTGAGGCAGGGCCTCAGGTGGGCCTGAGGCCTTGGGTACAGGCTGGCACGGGAGAAGCAGCTTGGCCTGTCTCCCCATGCACCTGGGAGGGCTCCAAGCCCATTGGGGATTAGTGGTTGGGGCGGAGAGGCTCTGGTGGATTTCTCCCTGGTGGGGCTGCGGGATAAACCCTGATGTGGCCGCCACCACACCTCAAGAACCAGGCGCCCAGGGATTATTTCGTAAACTGGGACCTGGCGTTGCACCCCACCCCCCCAAAACAGGGAGGTGGGGTGGCCGAGTGGCCACCTGAGGGGAGCGCCTGCCTGTACATCCCCACATGCACAAACAGGTACGTGTCTCCTGTGCTCAGCCAGAGTGTCCCGAGAACGTGTGGACGGCGCTTAGCATGGGCTCTCAACTGTAAATTTCTTGGGTTCAAGTCCTGAGTGCTAGCTGTGTGCCCTTGTATCAGTTACTTACCCTCTTTGAACCTTCTCTTTTACAACCCCTTTGTGAAATGTACCTATTTGGTAAGCCCATTGCAAGGTCTAATTTGAACTTTCACTTTCCTAACCCCTTTGTGAAATATACCTGTTCCATAAACCCATTGCAAGATCTAAATAAAATAATCCCTGTAGGGTTTAGCGCAGGGCCTGACACCTACTGCATGCTCGGCAAGTAGTGGCATTTACACATGAGTCACTTGTCTGCGTCCTGAAACTCAAGTTTTAAAACACTGAGCAGGTTCACGAAGGTGAGAGAGCATATGCAGCCCGGGCACTGTCCACCTGATGTTCAGATGGGTCCCTACCCTCCCTCCTTAAATGAGAATCTCTGGCTTGTTTCTTTTTCAGGCTCTTGTCATCTACTGGGGGTATCAGGGGAGGGGGTGAGGGGACCTTGGCCCTCTGAGCCTGGAATTAGGGGTTCAGTGAGGCTCAGAGGAAGCCCCCAGGTCCCTCCTACCCCCTTACCTCTGTTTCTAAACTTACCAGACAAAACTTGCTGGTTCCCAGACCCACCTTCTGCCCCCAATGCCATCCCCTCAGTTTCCAAGTTCCCCTGGCCCCTGTGCCAGCGGTAGGTTGAACACCCCTTTCAGGACAGAGTCCTGTTGACCCTTTCAGTGAACATATATCTGAAGCAAAGCCACCGTCCTGACTTTGCCTTCCCTTGGCTTGTGTCCTGGGACAAGTCACTTCCCCGCCTCGAGCCTCAGTTTCCCCACCTGTACAACAACAACAGAGGGCCCCCCTTGCCCACTGCTTGGCCTGCTGGAGGCCGAGATGAGGTCATGGATGTGAGAACATTTGTTGTACAAGCACAGGGTATAATTACGGGGCTGCGCTTCAGAGAGATTTGGCAGGAACAGCCTGGGAGGGGGATAGGAGCTTAGGGGAAGATTTCTCTGGTGGGGGTGAGGGGTGGATGGGGGGTCCTCAGGGGCCACGGGCGGGGAGCGAGGGCGAGGAGGAGGGCTGGGTGGGGACGCCCCCCCCTCCCGCCTCACTTCCTCACCCTTTTCTCTCCCGTCGGGCCTGTGTCACCACCAGCCCAAAGCCCCCAGCCCGCAGCCCCCAGGCTGTACATGAAACAAAAATCCTGGTGCCCGCCCTGAAAATAAATATCTTTTGCTTTAAAAAAAACAAAAAAAGAAAGAAAGAAAGAAAAAGACACAAACCCAAACCCCAAAGCCAAACAGCAAGTCTGTTATTTGGGAGTTTAATGAGCCCGTGTGAAGTCTCTGCTGGGCCTGGAAATGAGGAGGCTCCAGGCAGGAAGATTGGGGGCTTCGTTTCCACTCCGAGCACGCCAAGGGGTCAGGTTCTGCGGGAACAATGTGGGGGGGCAGGGGGCCCGTGACCTGAGGCCCCTTCCGCTCTCCCCCCCCCAGCCTGCCCCGCCCCCGGCGATCCCGGCTGGAGCTGGCCGTGGGGAGTTGGCCCCTCTGGAAATACTGTGACCCCCCAGTCCCTCAGGCCAGTGAGAGCACCCTCCAGGGCGGCCACCCCTGGGTGCCGGGGCCACTGCCGTATTGCACGCCCTCCTGTGACAGGCTTGTGGCTGTGACAGTCTTGTGGGTGGGTGTCACGTCTATGTCATAGGCAAGGAAACTGAGGCTCAGCGAGGAGAAGTGACAGGCCCTTGGTCAAGAAGGGACAGAGTCTGGATTCGAAGCCATGTCCCCTGCAGGTCCCCATGATCCAGGCTGGCCCTGGGGCACCTTGCCTGCCTCCCCACAGAACCTGGTTCCCCAGGAGGAAAATGGAGTGGAAGGGAGAGAGAAGGGGCCCTTGAACGGCCAGGCCCGGGGACGGTGGGTCTGAGGCCTGCCGCGCCGGCCTCTGCGCTCCCAAGGTGTCAGCCGGGGCGGTGGCCTGGGCTGACGCCTGTGGTGACAGGAGGACACCGGTGCGGTGGTGACTGTGGGCGGCAGCTGTTATGCTCTTGGCCTCGTTTTAAAAATAGTCAGGACTTCAAACATGGACTCCCAAGGAAAACAAACAGTCTCGCGTCCCTCCGCCCGTGCAGGCAGCGTGGTGGGTAAAATTAGCCTGGCGGTGACTACACAGACGTGAGCCCTGGCCCGCTGTTCGGCCAGGCTCCCGGCTGGGCTGCCCCAAGACCTCCCTGGCCGAGGCCTCCGGCCTGCGGGCGCACAGCCTCTCACGGGGAGAGGAAGCTCTTGGAGGCTCTGTCATGGGCTCTGTGGACACGGCAGGGCCCCAGTGCCTGGGTCAGAAGAGGCCTCGGGTTCGAATCCTGGCTCTGCCCCTTACTGGCTGTGTGGCCTTGGGGACAAGAGTCAGATTTCTGCACCCATTTCCTTATTTGGAAAATGGAGACACATTTGGTGTAAAGCTGAGGAAGAGAATATGTCTGAACAAGCGGGAGTTACATGTCAGGGCTCTGGAGGGCCAGGTCAGGGCGGTCACCAACAGCTCCGATATCTCGCCCAGAAGCCCAACCACAGTCCCAGCAGGCTCATGACATCTTCTCCCCAGGCTGGAAGAGCAGAGGCTCGGGAGAGCAGCATAGGCGGAACCCAGGACTCTCCAGGCTGGAGACGCGCCCGCGCCAGCACCGGGTGGGGGCCACTGGGGCCTCTGGACATTTTGAAGTGCCGAGGTACTGATGCCTCCTGTTATCTTTAGGTGATCTTGGGGGGCGGCCGGAAGTACATGTTCCCCAAGAATACAACCGATGTGGAGTATGAGCAAGATGAGAAGGCCAGGGGTACAAGGCTGGATGGCCTGAACCTCATCGACATCTGGAAGAGCTTCAAACCAAGACATAAGGTAGCCCGTTCAGGGACCAGATGGCTACAGGGTGGCCTGCGGTGGGGCTGGGGCTGGGGCTGGGGCTGGGGCTGGGGCTGGGGCTGGGTGAACTGTCTCTGAATCAGTTTTCTCCTCTAAAATGTGGTCATCATTCTTACCTCAATGGGCTCAGATGGTCTAACAGATACATGAATGGTACATAGTAGGTAATCCGTCAATTCCTTCCTTTAGGGGCAGGGAATGGAAAAAGCTAGACAGCAAGGGGGAGGACGGGCTAGGGAATGAGTAGCCTGCGTGGACACCCAGTCCACCTGCGCCCCTACTGTGTGCAGAGCCCCTGGCTGGCCATGAGGTCCGAATGATGAGTCAGCGGTCAAGGAAACACGGAACACTGTGTGCTTGGATGGCAGGATGTCCAGGGCGTACTGGAACCCAGAGGGGACAGACCGCAGGGAGGGACAGAGGAGACCTGAGGAGGGGGCGGGGCGGCGGAGGAGGCAGTATCGGGAGGCGTCGTAGGCAGAGGTGGCAGCCATGGGGTCGAAGCCCTCCACAGGGAGCTGACTGTGGCCTGGGCAAGGGCACGTGCTGGGGAAGGGAGGCTGGAACGTGGGAAGGGCCCGAGCTCTGGCTCCCGGAGCGGCTCTGGCCTTTTAAATCTGTGCTGCTGGCCTCTGGGCTTGGGGCAGCTGGGGTCTGGAAATGACTGCGGTCAGGGCTGAAGACAGTGGGGAGCAGCCTGGCAGCCGCTTTGATGTCACTCCGGGCTTGGGTTTCTGAGGGTTCCAGGACTGGCCCCAGGGGAGGCCTTGTGGGACGAGGCTGGGCCAAGAGTGAGGTGGGGGCAGGGGCTGGGGAATGGCCCCCACAGGGCTGATGGGGGTGGGAAGGAGCTGCTTTGAACCTCTGCCATTCCTTCTGAGTCAGTTCCAGCTGGGCCAGAGCCACTCCCGGCCCAAGTCAGAAAGGCAGCGCCCTCCCAGCCTCAGTTTCTCTCCCTGGAACGTAGGACCAGAGCTCGATCCTTCTTGCCTAGGCAGGGTACTTCCCTCGGAGCTTAGTCTAGACCCCAAGAGGGAGGGAGAGGGCCCAGAGCACTGTGCCAGCCGGGTATCACTGTAGGGTCCCCAAGAGACCCTACCTTGAAAACCGTGCCTTAAGGCTAGGTTCTAGAGTGTCTCACCTTTACCACTGAGTGGCTGTGTAATCTGTATGTCTCAGTTTCCTCATCTGTAAAATGGGAATGTATGTACCTACCTTATAGGGCTGATGTGAGGATTAAATGAGATAAACACACCTCAGGGACGCAGAGGAGAGGATCGGGGTGGGAGGACAGAGCCCCGCTGTGTTAGCCTTTTCACCTTCCTTCCCATAATAACCCTTGAGGTTCGAAAACCACCAATCCTAATGCCATTGTCCAGAGAAGGCAAGGGACTCTCCTGAGGATACACAGCTGATTCCTGGCAGTGCTAGGACCTCCCGTCCAGGTCCTGAATGGTGCCATCTCCGGGCAAGCCAACCAGCCTCTTCCTGCGGCCTCTCTGCCCTGAAGAAGCAGCACCTCCTTTATTGTCCCCTTATATGGGCCCCAGAGCAGATCTAGGGCCTCGCTTCCCCCCTGGCTCTCCGTGGCCTCCAGAACACAGCTCACACCTCTCAGTGGGCCGCTTGTGACCTGTGTCTGCCTCTTCTCTGCCACACGTTCCTCTCCATGGAACTCTACTCCCTGACCTCAGGCTGATCAATTTCTACTCATCCTCTAGGGCCTCATTAGGATATTGCCTCTACCAGGAAGCCTTCCCTGATCCTGCCTTTGGGCCCACAGTGACCCCTGGTCCCTCAGAACTCTCCTTCCCCTGCATTAGAATTGCCTATTTATTTGTCATTTCTTGAAGGCAGGAATGGTAGGTCCTTAGGGAGGGGTTGTTAAAGGACTGAAGGCAACAGAAACAAACACATGCCTCCGACTGTGGGACCAGCTGGGGGCTGTCCTTCCAACCCCCGGCCCCCTTGTGACTGACCCAGGCCCTTCCTCCTAGCACTCTCACTATGTCTGGAACCGCACTGAACTCCTGGCCCTCAAACCCAGCACCGTGGACTACCTCTTAGGTAAGGCGTCGGGGGGTTGGGGTGGTGGATGCCTGGCTGGCTGCCCTGGGGCAAGGGTGGTGTGACCCAGCACCTGGGGGCAAGGCCCCAGCCTGCTCCCCCTGCTTAGGGACCTTTGCGCTCAGGCTCCAGGACCTGGGAGGGGTGAGGGAGGGGTTCTGGTTCATAGAATTTCAGCCCCAAAACTGCTGGCTGTGCAGGGTGAATAGCCCCAATAAACACAGAGGGAAGCTCAGGGTCAGGGGAGGGAAGCTGCCTACGGCATGCCCAGAGCTGATTAGGGTATGGCCCGCTAAGTCTGGACGCGGGACGCGGGTAAGCACACCCCGGGCTGTGGAGCTGGGCATCCGAGCCAGCCCTGATGTGTGGCCAGAGCAGAGCCAGCCTGGTTGTCTGCTGGTCCTGACCGAGGTGGGAGGTGGGGCGCTCCCCTCTCCCCTGGCATAGGGAGCAGTGGTGGGGGCCAGGGGCATTTCTAGGTTAGGTAGGACGAGACCTGAGCACCACCATGACGACCTCTGGGTCCTCTTTCCCACCTGGCTAGTGTGCCCAGGGAGTGGTGGCAAAACCTCCTGCAAACCTTTCCCAAGGAGCTCAGCCCCCGGGTCCTGGGTGTGTCATTGGAGATTATGGGCACAGAGCTGGGCACCTGGAGGAGCCCAGATACACACAGCCCTCCACTTGCCTGGGTTATATAGCACAGACTCCATACCACACACAGACTGTGTGGAGCTGTGTGTGCACCCATGGAACAAGACAGTTCTACTCATGGATCTTAGAGCCAGAGTGCTGGGTTCAAATCCAGCTCCTACCACCTATGAGCAGTGCAATGTTGGGCAAGTGATTTCTCTGTGCCTCAGTTTCCTCTTCTATAAAGTAGGAATAATGACTCTTATAAAATGGGGATAATGATAGGGCCTGCCTCAGGGTTATCATGATGATTCAATGAGCTAATGCATTGTATCATTATCCATTGCTATAGATCAGATTATCCCAAAAACTTAGTTTAAAATAAGAGTAACCATTTACTACTTTGCAGTTTCTTTGGGTCAGGCTTTGGGAGCAGTTCGGCAGGTCTCTCAGGAGGTTGCCGTCATCTGAAGCCTTGACTGGGGCTGGGGCTTCCAGGGGGCTTCACTTGTATGGCTAATAAGTAGGCAGGAGGCCTCAGTCCCTTGCCACATGGATCTCTCCACAGAGCTGATTGAGTGTCCTCACAGCATGGTATCTGGCTTCTCCCAGAAACCCAAGAGTGTGCAAAGCAGAAGCTGCAGTGTCTTATGCCCAGACCTGGAAGTCACATGCTGTCATTTCTGCAGTATTCTGTTGGATGCATAGGCCAGTCCTAGTCACTGCAGAGAGGGAGGCGTGGGGGGCACACCAGGGTGTGAATTCCAAGAGGCAGGGCTTATGGGACACAACTTGGAGGCTGGTACCTACATGCTTCCAAAGCTCCTATAGTGGCACGTGGAACAGAATGAACGCTTTGTTCATCAGAACTTTTGTTTGGCTGCACACACACTCACGGAGAGGCAAGGTTGTTCTGGAAGGATATCCAGAACTGAAAACACCAGCCTGAGGCACGTGAAATCTTGTGACATGGGCAAGGAGTGGATCATTTATTTCCTAAGTGAGAAAACTGAGCTCAGTGAACAGAAGGGACAGCGACCCCAAACCTGCTGCGGTGTCCCTGCACAGAGTGCTTCAAGCCTGGCCTGTAAATGACAGGTAACATGCAGGCAAGCTGCCTTGTCAAGTCCAGGACAGAGTCCTCTTTCTGAGGGCCACGGTGCCGTGTCCTGGGCCCTTCAGGCTTGAGGGGTAGGCCAATGGACATGAATCCGATTGCCCATTCAGCAGCTGAAAAGAGCAAGTTACTGGTCCTCGAGCCTCGGTCTCCTCTGTAAATGGGCGTGGTGACCCCTCTCTGTGGTGTGGCCCTGATGAGGGCTTCTGGTGCATGTCGGGCCCCCAGAGCCATCCAGAGGAGCCTCCTTCCCCCCACCGCGCCCTAGGCTGTGTGTGGGGAACCTGTGGTCCCTGAGATGCCACAGGTTCCCTGCAGATCCTCCTGGCGGGATCAGGAACTCTCACCGCCCACATCCTCCTCAGGTCTCTTTGAACCGGGGGACATGCAGTATGAGCTGAACAGGAACAATGGGACTGACCCGTCACTTTCCGAGATGGTGGAGATTGCCATCAAGATCCTGAGCAAGAATCCCAGAGGCTTCTTCTTGCTGGTGGAAGGTAGGGTCCCAGGCCTGACTGCAGGCCACTTGCCTAAGAGCTTGACTGAGGTCAGGGGAGGCCAGCTCTCAAAGGGAACTGTCTAGTTTGGCGATGATGCAGGAAATTTCTTTTAGGAGGATGAATTGTAGACTGGCGGAAAGGGGGGCAGTGCTGAAGCTCCCAGCCCAACAAGCTGTTATCACACATACATACACACCAGGCTTACTAGTCTAGGAAGGCTTCCTGAAAGAGGAGGTGGGTGTCTTCCTTCCAGGAGTTACTCCCTGAGGCTCTTGAGGAGTGTGCAGCCCCCTCAGCTTCACTCCTCCCTAAAGGCTAATCAGCAGGCCCAGGAGACATCTGCAGCTGAGCAGCTGTTTGGAGGTGCTCAAGGCCATCTGCGGCAGCCCTCACAGCCAGATGGCAGACATCTGCTGTTCCTAGGCACATGTGGGGCCAAGGCAGGTTCGTGAGTCCTGTCTCTGGGAGGAAAAGGCCCAGGATCCCCCAGAATGGGAGAGCCAGACCCTTTGGGAGTCGACAGTGCTGGATGCTGGCATTCACGGGGTTTCCGAGGGCCCTCATGAGCCCTGGGGTCTGTCTTGAGCTTTTGTCCTGAACCTGCCATCTACTGGCTGTGCGACCTCTACCTGTCCATTTCTGTCAAATGAGGCCCCGCACAGTCGCCCTTTCCTAGAAGGGTTATTAGCATCCATTGTGTTCAGAGACATAAAGGACTTGGAACAGGGCCTGGCAGAGAATATATCCTCAGTGTTTCTGTTATTACTGTCACAATTGCACAATAGCTAAATCAATAACAACAGGAAGTTTGAGGATGTGATAAACTGTCCGGAATCTCCCAGAGTTCTGACAGCCATTGTCTTCATGTTCACACACAAACACGGACCCATTTGCACGCATACCCTCACTACACACACACACATACACTCAGGCCCCTCCGCCCTCCAGGGCCAGTGGCCACCAGCCACTGCTTTTCCTTCTTGCCAAACCCCGGGGTTCCCATTCAAGCACAGCGGTCTCGGCCTGGCCCCGAACAGGCCTCTGACGCCGAGGAACCAGCCAGGAACCAGTGGTGGCGAGCGCGGGCTCCCCCGGGAGCAGCGCTCTTTGTGAGCAGGGCCAGTACTGGGCCCGCCAGGCCAGCTGCTCCCAGAGCCACAACAAAGGAAGGACCCACCCTTCCAGCCTGCCAGGCCGCAGTGGTGAGGCTCAGGCTAGTGAGCAGGGAGGGTGGCCAGGCACCCAGGCCCAGGACACTCAGAGCTGGGAGTGTCTGCCTAGGCAGCATCTTCCTGTTAGAGACGGGAGATGTTCGTTCCCTCAGGTCACAGAGCCCTTTACTGTGGACCTTTAAGCCAGGCTCCATGCCAGGCCTCTTGTGCTCACTTGGCTTAAGGAGGCAGCACAGGACACAGGCCCCTGCAAGTCTTTCTGGAAGCCTGCTGTGGGCCCTGCCCAGCCACCACCTTTTTGGACTGTGCTTTACACTCAGAGGGGACTCTTCAGAGTGGAGGTGGAAAGGCAGGTGATCTAGAGCCAGTCACACCTGAATTCAAATCCCAGCAAATCTCACCTTGGGCACGTGGCTTCCCCGCTTGGGCCTCAGTCGCTTCATCGGTAAATGGGGCTGACTGTTCCCGTCTCTGCCAAGATTGTTGTGAAGGGGAAATACCACATTGGCTTGCCGTGCCTGGCCCCTAGTGGGCACTCAGGCATGCTGGTGCCCTCCCTGCCTCTTAGAGGTCTCCGGGTCCAGCAGCTGAAGGAGCGGTGCTGGGAGCAGCCTGGGGTCAGGGAAAGAGCACATGCTTTTCAGGCAGGTGGATCGGCTTTAAATCCTGGCTGTTTGGTCTCCGTGCATAGGCCTTTGGCCCAGCAACTCGCCCTCTCTGCGCTGCTGCACAGGTTGAATGGCTGCCTAAAAGCCTGGTGTGGTTGCCGGCATATAGTATTTCCCCATCAAAGGGAGGTGAACCGGGCGGTTGTATGGTGGGGCTCGGGGGTGCCAGTCTTCTTCGCCTCCCCTGTGGCCTTTGCCTTGGTGTCTCAAGGAGGCAGGATTGACCACGGGCACCATGAGGGCAAGGCCAAGCAGGCGCTGCACGAGGCGGTGGAGATGGATCTGGCCATCGGGCAGGCAGGTGCCATGACCTCCCTGGAAGACACACTGACCGTCGTTACTGCTGACCACTCCCACGTCTTCACATTTGGCGGGTACACACCCCGTGGCAACTCTATCTTTGGTAGGTGGGCCTCCAGTGGGGTGGGCGCTGGGCACTCTTGGGGTCTGCCCATCTGGGAGCAGGAGTGGGGTGGGAGAGTCAGCAAGCCCAGGGCCTGGCACGGGTGAGACTCCAGGAGAACTTGCCGATGGGTGGGGGGATGCAGGATGGAGGGATGGAGTGAGGCGAGTGCACGGCTGAGTGGCTGGCTGCCTGGATGATGGGTAGATAGAAGAATGAGAGGGCCCTGGCCAGGTGCTCGGTTGGTTGGAGTGTCGTCCCATACATCAAAAGGTTTCGGGTTCAATCCCTGGTCAGGGTGCGTACTGGAGGCAACAGATCGATGTTTCTCTCTCACATTAACGTTCCTCTCTCTGAAAAAGAAAGAAAAATCAAAAAAGAATGAGAGAGGATGAATGGGAGGGAGGGATGTAGGCACAGTGAAAGCTGAGGAGTGGTTGGTGGGAGGTAAATCAGGTTGGGAAGGTGGCTTCATGGAGCTGGGTTGGGGCCCTCCAAAGGGACTGTACCCCTGGTGCTCCCGCGTGATCCCTGGACCAACGCCTTCCTGTGCAGGTCTGGCCCCCATGGTGAGCGACACGGACAAGAAGCCCTTCACTGCTATCCTGTATGGCAACGGGCCTGGCTACAAGGTGGTGGGCGGTGAGCGAGAAAATGTCTCCATGGTGGACTACGGTGAGACTGCCAAGAGCCAGGGCTGGCAGGGGACAGGACACCCATCTGGGATGGGACTGAGAACAGAGTATAGGCTTGTGGTCAAGGTCCAGGGTCTCAGAACTGTAAGGACTGAGTCAGAACAGTATCAGTTTGAATCCCCTTCTACAATTTAGTAGCTCTGGGACCTTGAGCACATAGCTTCACCTTTCTCAGCTTCGGTTTCCTCCGTAAGAGGGTTCTACCTCCTAAGGCTGCCTGGAGAACTAAGTGAGTCTGAGAAGTTTTGCATGGAGCCTGGCATGCATAGGTGTTTGCTATATTATAGTCATTTTTACTGGCTATATAATATTCCAGTATAAGAGCCTTCCCAGGGTATTTATCCAATTCCATATTGTTAAATGTTCATTTGTTTTGATGTCTCCAGAGGTCCGGGGGGGTGGGGGTTCTAGTGGTACGGCCAATGGTAAGAACCTTTCCAGGGTTGACTTTCCTGCTAATCCAGAGCTCACCTGCTGGCACAGGTGAGGCGGATTTTCTCTTCTGGGGTTTGGGAGCACAGGCTTCTATGTTAGAACAGACCCAGGCCCTAATTCCGTGGCCTTGTGCAAAATGTCTTCCCTGCACTGAGCCTCAATTTTCTCTTTTGTGAAATGGGGCACTCATGCCAGCCTGGGAGGGGCACAGCGCCAGGCCCTTGCTGCGCCCTCTGCAAAGGTCTTTTCTGGCCCACAGCTCACAACAACTACCAGGCTCAGTCTGCTGTGCCGCTGCGCCACGAGACCCACGGTGGGGAGGACGTGGCGGTCTTTGCCAAGGGCCCCATGGCGCACCTGCTGCATGGCGTCCACGAACAGAACTACATCCCCCACGTGATGGCTTACGCCGCCTGCATCGGTGCCAACCGCGACCACTGCGCCTCAGCCAACTCATCGGGCAGCCCCTCCCCAGGCCCCCTGCTGCTCCTGCTGGCCCTGCTCCCCCTGGGCATCCTGTTCTGAGGGCCCGGGGCCTGGGCACCCACTAGCCCGTGACAGATGGCCAGCCTTCCCCTCCCAGAGCTGCATACCGCCCACAGGCCACGCCTCAAGGGGCCAGGGGGTGGGGGCATCCACAGCTTCTGCAGCTGCCAGAAAGGGGACCCAGGAAACCAATCTGCTGCCCCCGTGCTCCCTTCTGGATCCTCCCCTGGGACCAGCCTGGTTCCTAGCCTCCTGCCTCGGCCCCCCGCCCCCGCTGCCCCTTTGGCTCACAGGGTAGGTTTCTCTGGGGCAGGCAGAGAGCACAGACTGCAGACATTCTCAAAGTGTCTTATTTTTCTAGCAAACATATTTCTCCAGATCCGGAGGCTCCAGAGCTTCCATGGAACATTCCAGATCTGACCCTCCCGCTGTCTTCTCCTTCCGTCTGGAACCGACCAGGGCCCACCATGCTCATGTCCGTATCTAAAAAGGAGACCCAAGTCCTTCTCTTCAGGAAGGGGGTTTGCTCACTCGTTCGAGGGCATCCCAGGGATCCCAGGAAGTCAGCTCCTGGGACAGGCTGTCCAACCCCAGGTGGCCTGGGCTGGGACGGAGGAGCGGCCTGGCGGGCAGACACTTCCCAGCTCCAAACACACATGCCAGCTCCTCTCTGAAGCGACTCTCCTGTTTGGAAGAGCAAAAAAAAAAAAAAAAATTTTTTTTCTCTTTTTGGTGTTGGTTAAAAGGGAACACAAAACATTTAAATAAAAATTTCCAAATATTTCTGAGGACAGAGCTGAGTCTTTGTGGTCAGGGAGGAAGAGACTGAAATAAGCTCATTTCTCCGGGAAGGGCTGGACGCAGGGCCCAGGAGTGGGGGGTGGGGGGCTGGGGGGTGGGGATGGCAAGGGGTCTACTCCTGGCTTGGGGGCTTTAAACCCATCACCTGGGTGACTGTGTACAAATTGTGTCTCTGCATCTGTTTTCTGATCTTTAAAATGGGAGGCAGCCCGTATCTGGGCTATGATGAGGGCTGAAGAACGGCTCTGTGCCCAGGGCCCCACAGCAGGAGAGCCTCCTAGGGCCCCGACACTCTGGCCGCATGGTGCCCCCAAAACAGAACTACAGTCCCCGGCCCATGGTGGCTGCTGCTCATTCATTCATTTGTTCATTCATTCACAAATGTTGAGTATGTGCTTGGCCCTGGACTAGGTCTGAAGAATTTAATGGCGAACAGCACTGATGGGCTACCTGCCCTGGCAGAGCATCAGCCTAGCTTGGGGACTGTCATCTCTCCATTCCTGATTATCAAGCCTGGGTATTGATGGGGTCCAGGATGGCACCGGATGTTGGGGACACACAGCTTCCTGAGTTTGATCCTCTTGACATTGGACTAAAAGTCCCTACAAGATATACAATAACAATCAGTGTTGATCATCTGTCATCTGCCAAGCTTTGTGCTTGATGCACATGGATTCAGCTCATTTAACGCTCCCTAGGAAGTAGGCCGCCATCACCTACGTTTATAGATGGGGAAACTAAGAGTGTGGGAGGTGGTATGATTGCCCAAGGTCCTCTGGGTTGTGGAGGTGGGATGTGAATCCAGGTCCGTTTGATTCCAAAACTCTTACACTTAATGACATCCTTTGTTTATAATGCGTTTCCAACCTCCTACCGATCAGGTTTGGAGACAGCCGATATGAGGGACTCATAACCTACCCCAGTTAAATATGAACTCAGAAAGATGAAAAATCATGTGTCAGAAGTGAGAGGTCCTTCAGGAATAAAAATTCAACTGAGCAGATTTCCCTCTGAGCTTCCTAGCAGTCCTAGCAAAAAGGGAAGTACAGTCAAGCTGATGCTGGGATAAAAAAATTATATGCCTCCCCTCTTGCCAGGACAAAGAGACATGTCACCTTGAACCGTGCAGTGGGGTGTTTTCAGGTGTTACTCTAATATCATCTTCCCAGTTGCCATCATGGGCAACGAGGGCTCAGTCCTGCCATGGACCACCAGGAGACAGGGTAGAGATGCACCTCAGAGGTTGCCCACCATCGGGCACGGGGGCTGCGGTATTTGTTCTCCAACTCTCCCCCTCATTGGCTAACGGCTGTTTCCTGAAAAATTACCACCCTAGCCCTTCTAGCATGCCCCTAGAAAGGCTGAGAGGAAGTCCCCGAGAATGCGCTGGACCATTAAATGCTCGAAGGATAAAAATGGCACCAACAGCATCTTAAACTTTGGGAGACACAGTTGGATTGTAAACCATGGGCTGTGAGCCAGAGAGATGAGGCTTCACATCTCTGCTCCATCGTTTTTTCATTTCTATGAACTTGGGCAAGTTCTCCGACTTCACTGATGTTCCATCCCTTCACCTGTGAGGTATAGGACTTAGGATCCCACTAGGAACGAGGGGCTCTCCCCCAAGCCCAGGAGGAGGGCTGATGTGTTCTATGAGAACCAATGGCGTTCGGGTACCCGCTGCTCCAAGGTCTTCCCGATGCCTCCCCCCACCAAGTCTAGGCCCCTGCACCCTTAGGCCACTCATCACCCTTCATTGTAACTGTTGGTGGGCTCTGAGTCCTAATCGAAGCCAGGGGGCAAGGCAGAGGTCTTGGCTTCAGCCATCAGCAGCCAGGGAACTAGAAACTAAGGGTGAGAGTCCCCAAAGGACAAGGATTTCCATGGCCCTCAGATGCTTTCTCAGGAAGAAAGAATAAAGATGAGCTGACAAGTTATTTTCTACTCATCCAGCTAACCCTGTCTTCTGTTAAAGAAAAATCCAGAACTTAACCCAATGGGAGTTTATTTTGTCTTAAACATCTGATGGTAACTTTGGTCAGATGACTGGGACCCAGGCTCTTTCCACCCTGTGGCTCTTCCCTCCTCTAAGTTCCAATGTTCTGTTGAACCAGAATATCTGTTTACTAAGTTCTATCCGACCAACACATTGATGGAGGGGGTGCAGGGGAGGAGACATCCTTCTTAACCACTTCTTCCTGGAAGTAACACATCACTTTCACTCATAGTTGATTAGTGAAAACTAGTCATACGATCCCCCTTAGATGCAAAGGAGGCCAGGAAATGCAGTCTTCGGTTGAGCAGCAAGGGGCCACCAACAACTCTGTAGCTGGTTCTCAATCTGGGCACTGCTGATGCTTGGGGCCGGATACGTCTCTGTTGCGAGGACAGTCCTGAGCATTGTAGGATGTTTAGCAGCACCCCAGGCCTCTACTCACTAGATTTCTACTCACTAGATTAGAGGGCAAAGCCATACCCTCCCAACCAGTTAAGAACCTCTGCTCTAGAGTAAGGAAGGGGCATGGGAGGCTTGGGAGGTCCGCAGGCCATCTGGCCTCAGCTTAGCTCCTACTCGGGGCACCTCCCCACTCATGTGCTCCCCAGACATCACAGAGCATCCTCACAGTGGTTTCAAGCATCGGGAACTTTCACATATGATTGAGTTTCTGACTTTTTTGAAAATTGGGCAGTGTGGCCGACAATGACCCACGTTTCTGCAGCTCAACGGCCAGCCAGAGCTGAGAAATGGCTGCCTGTTGGGCATATGCATCTTGTTTGCCACATTGTGGGGAGAGATGGGCAGGAGGGCCTTGAATGCCATTCCAAGAAGCTGAGTGTTGACCATGAAGACCCTGGGGAGCTATGGAGGGTTCTGGAGCTGGGGCATAAGCATCATTTTTGAAAGATCATCTTGGCATCCAGTTTTGAGGGCAGCTTGAAGAAGAGGAAGTAGAGGCTGAGAGACCAGCAAGGAAGCTGTTCAAATAGACCAGGCAGGAGAAGCTGGGGCCATGGAGGTGGGGAGGGGGAACAAGCCCCAAATATGTGACTGTGGGTCCCAGCTCCTGTTTGTCAAGAAGGAAGCTAGAACAGCACAGGAATGGATGGGTCATCGGCAAACTGATTGCTGAGACTGAGGGCAGGATGGAGCTGGACGCCTACTATGCACCACCCACCCTACTAAGCACCCGTGAGTGGCTGTGACATTGCCACCGAGAGGTACATTTCCACACATACCCCTGCACTATCCTGTGAGGTGAACAACACCCCCATTTTACAGATGAGAAAGTTGAGGCAAGGCGGGGTGTACTGACTGCTGCAAGTTGAAGCCAGGTCTGCCTGCCTCCCAATCCATGTTTCTACCATCCCTCCCCCACCCCCTGCCCCACTTAGCCTCTGGGGTGCTAATGTCTCCAAGGAAAACAACCCCAGCCCATCAGCCACAGAAGTCCTTCCAGGGGGTAGTGAGAGCCCCAAGCTGAGTTTATAATTAGTCCTGGTGGCTTACCAGGACCTCCCACCGAGATCTACCACCAGCCAATGGAGGATGGGATTAAATTCTCAGAAGAGGATTTGGGCTCCTGAGGTCCTGCGTGGCTTCCTGCGGCCTCCTGGTGATGCCGCCTCCACCACAGCGCCTTTCCTGGTCCCTCAGCCCTCTTTGTCCGAACCTCAGAACCTCGGGCTGGGTGGACACACGTGCCCCTCCCCACGGAGCCAACCAGGGGCCAGCCGGGCTGGGGTCCCCCGCCGGCCAGTGCCACTTCGCCCTCCTGCCCCTTAGAATGGAGGCTTAGAATCACTGAGGCAATGGGAGCCCTGACAGCGAGCATTTCTATAGGGTTCCCGAGGGCCAGGTGCCGTTTCTGGTGCCCCACAGTGCACTTCGCTCATTTACCCTCCCAGACCCCTACGGTGAGGGGCACTGCGGCCAACGGGAGAACGGCCCGCCCGACGGGCAGCCATCCCTCAGCTCTGCCGACCACTGCCCTGCAGAAACGTGGGGCCGTGCCAGCCCTGTCTCCCAACTGAAAAAAAAAAGCCAGAAACCCAAATCATACGTGAAAGTTCCCGATGTTTGAAAACACTGTGAGGATGCAGTGTGACATCCGGGGGGCATGTGAGTGGGAAGGTGCCCTGAGGCCGAGCTGAGCCTACACCAGGCGGCCATGACCATGCAGACCCCCCACGCCCCTTCCTTACTGTGGGGAGGGGGCTGCCACTGTCCCCGTTTTGTCGATGAAGAAGCAGAACAGGAGCAGAGAGAACTTCGGTCACTTGTG